CATTATTCTGTCGTTAATTAAGATATAAGAAGTACATGCTTTTATTGGAACTGTTTCTCGAGTTCATTTTATTTGCCGACTGATTCTCCATCGATTCCACTCGCAGCGCGCTTCATAATCCAATCGAATATCCAAAAGCAGCAATGCATGGTCCGACCAATTAGAGAACGCGTATACAGCGTCGATCGTATCGACAGTATACTTGATAGCGAGGTCGTCGTTCCGTGGAGGCTAAGCCTTGCATAATAAAACGTTCGCTAACGAACCGGTTGCCATAGTTTCGCGCCGGACCGAGTAGAACCGGGTCGAGGAGGAGGGAACGGCCGTTTCTCCCTCCGAAATTAAATTAATTAAGTCAGATTATCTCGGCGGATGTAAAAAAAACTTCAATAGAGGCCGCGCGGGCTGACAAGTTTCGCTGGCAGGTCGAGAGGGACCGAGGAGGAAAGGAAAAAGAAGAAGGAGGAAGGCTTCTTGTACTTTTAATTTCGTTTAAGTCCGTCGCAGCCACCTGGAGATTTCGCCGTCGGGGGAGCCAGGTGCTAAGATCCTCTTGTACCCGCATATTTTCGTTGTTCGCCGTCAATTTTCATTTCGAAGTTTGTACCCTTTCATCGCGCGGTGAATAAGAAACGAAACGTCGCGTTGCATCGCGGAAAGCACTTTGCAATAAAAAAAATGAACGACGACAGGAATTAGGTGTTTCTTGTGAATACAAATTATAGAGGAGCTATTATGAAAATTGATAATCAGATGGTGATAGATCGTTTGTTTTCGATTACTCGCCGAATTTCATTTTCCTAACAGTATCAGCAAGCGACGTCAGTGTCTCCCTGGTTGAAAAATTCTTCAGCGCGTGCAATCATCCATCCAGCCTCCCCTGCTCGTTTACCTGCACACCGGATGCTCGTTCGCCGGTCTCCCAACAATAACATACGCGTCACTCACGCTGGAATACATTTTCAAACTTCCATTTCCCGTCTTTCCCGGCGAGATCTTTCGATCGTTCCCAGCTTTCCGTCTGGCCGTCGAACTTCGCGTTCGATCCAGAACGTCGCGTTCCATCGCCTCTACAGGCCCATTCAATATTCGTGTCGCAGGAAAATTTAAACATTGGTACAAGATAAATCATAACGAGAGTTCGTGTTTTAATCTCATTAAATACTTTCACATTATTTTAAAGTCGATATCCGACAAGGAGAAATTCTGATTTAGTAAGAATAAGGGTGCGATTAGAATGAGTCGTCCTGTACACCGGTAACGTCGCCTGCATACGATGGATATAAAACGCGAGGTACGAGCCGCCTTCGGGGATTTTAACATCCGCGGCACTGTTTATTGGAATTGCAACGCGAACGGATATGGAAGTGAGAAATTCCTTCGAAAGGAGTCGCTGGGAAGGAAATCGCAAGGAGGATATTAAAAGGTATCGGAGTAACGCGATACTTATTAGAACGGAAATAATTGCGAGTTCGTAAATGGATGCGAGCCATCCCCTGTATACGTAAAATCAATATTTGTTCGGGGCTTTGGTGAATATTTTGACAGATAACGCTGTCGTTAATCAACGTGATTTACTATCGGATACGCCATTAAATATCTTAATTAACATAATTAATTGAGCTGGATCTCCGCGAATGCATGTCTCCCCTAGGTGGGCATGTTTGTAAAAGGTACATATGATACAATAAACGTGGTAATGTCACGTTTATGTCGGCAGTTGATTAAATTCCTGCCACGAGCTATAGCGGCGTGAAACTAAAAATGAAATAAGATCATAATTCTATTTAAAATTCATTTGATAATAACTGAAGACATTCTTTGATGACGCGCAGATTGGAAGACTCAAAGAGTTACATGCAGCGGATAAAAAGGAGGATTGTCGGAATAATTAAAAGCGTCACAGCGTTTCATTCGGGGACAATTGAAATAAAAGAGGCCGTCCCCGCGTTCTTCCGGGAAAGTAACACCGGAAGCGGACAGGAGCGGAATCGGTGTACGCGATTATAAATAATAGAACCGAGGGTAGACGCGAGAAAATATCGTAGCCGGCGAGGGTAGGTGGGGGTGGCATGGGAAAAGTGGGTCGTCGCCGAGAGGAGGAGGAGGATGATAAACGAGCGTGGCAGCGACGGAAGAGATGGAGGAGGGACGGGGAGAGCCTTGGCAGAAAAATAATGCGATTCTCGCGTGACACGATGGATTCTGAAATCGCGGACGCGTTCACCGCCGGTGGAAAGTGTCGAACGATGGTAGGAAAGAAAGGAAGGAAGGAAGGAATTAAGGAGGGCGGTAAGATGATGCGAGAGACGTCGGGGCCAATAATGCCCCGGGAAAATTACTGTGGCGTGCGAACAACCGAGGGAAGTGTGAAATGGGTCTCACAATGGAGTGGAATTTCGTATTGAGATTAACGGGATGAGCCTGCCTGCTTCAACGGCGTTTCACGTCGAATCTAAACGTATTCCTGTGTTCATTAATATTCAGTGCTCCGTTCAGAATGTTTTTAAATTGTTCGATCGGAATTACAACGATTTTTACCATCAGTCTTTCATGTTTGTTCACCATGGACGAAAATATAAAAACTGAAAAGGAGGATGGGGACGGAGGAAAATGGTAGGAGTAGACACGGTGCTATCATCGAGAACGACGATTTATCAGGGGAGCTCGTTCGTCCAACAAGAGATAACACCAAACTTTCAGAGACGTTTTGAAGAACGAACATCCCTGAGCTACTGGCTAACAAATGCCCGTTTTCCAGCGCCGTGCTCGTAGCGCGGGACCACTTTGTTACGTTTACAAATAGCCAGTCGCTCGGCGAACGCGTATGACAAGTGTGAGTTCGGTACGAAACCTGACAAATTTAATCCGCAGTGACGGAAACTGAAAAATTGAATATAACTGTTTTATAGAACACGTACAGTTTCTGATAGAAACAATTTGTTACATATCCAATGGACGTACTGTTAATGTTAAATACTCGTTTGTCTAATACTATTCGTAAATCAGAAATTGCGAGTTATATGAGAAATAGATCCGAACTACTGAAATTTTTATCAAACAAAAAAAAATCGATTACCGCTTCTCGCTTCAACCCCGCGGTACATTTTTTGGGTGGTAAACAGCGTCGAGGGATTCTAATTAACGCGAGTTTCCGCACCTCCTAAAAAATTACGCAACAATCGCTCGAACGGGAACAATTACGATCGTTCAAACCTTCCCTTTCACCACTGTTACGATTCATAAAAATTCTCAAAGCGTGTTTGCAAAAAATTGTGAGTGACGGCCATGCAGCTCTTTGTTTCTAACTTTAAAAGCCGTTCTTTTTCAGTACTCTTGAATGTTGATTATAAATATGTTATCACACGATTGAAAGCTCGTAAGTAAAGTTTCATTACCACGTGACAGGTTTGCTTATTTCATTTCGTGGTTCATTTGACAAAATGAAGTATAAAGAATAAAGATTAATGACCTCTTGACTCGTGGAACTGTACCGGCGTACATAGTTCGTACTATCAATAATATGCGAACATGTTCCGAGCATTTCTATCGCAAATATGAAATTAAAGGGATCCGGGAACGTGTGCGGGGTGTATTTAGAAAACAAACATTATACATTGCACGCCATGCAATTCTGTTCGTTTAATTCTTTGTGCGAGAACCTGCACGCTGCGGTAGTTCCCTTCTAAATATTTAAGTATAATTACTCGATATTTACGTGGCCGCATTAGTTAACCAGGCGTTTCATTCTATTTTGACCTCTTCTGTTTACTCACTCCAAAAGAGGAGAAGATTGAAAGAAATTGACCTGCGAGTGCATATTACTTTGTCGTGCTGCATTTATTATGGGAACGTGGTTATCGTTCGCTGGTTGGAAATTACACGTTAATAAGAACAGATTACTTGAACCGAGGATTAAAGGGAACAGTTTCTCTTATAATTTCTTATTACTAACCGTAACGGTTTTGTAGTAAAATCGAGTCGGTAGTAGCTATCACGCTGCCGCGTGGAGCGAGGAAAGTAGCTACGTAGTGCAGGTAGAAAACAAGCAACCAGTTAGTGATTACAGCGATGACAAATGGCAGCGTGGGAATTACGAAATGAAGGTTTAATAAGGTATGAGTCGGATCGGGAACGGTCGCCGCCACATTTCCTGCGCTAATTAACAAATCCAATTTTAATCGACGCTCCAATTCGCGCGCTCGCCGATCCCCAACCCCCTTTAGGTGTCCCACGGTCCGTACTCGTTGCGTCGCGTCGCGTCCACATGAAACCTGATTAGCGGCTACCCCCGAGGTGAAATTATTTCGCGTCAGCCGAATCTCCTGGCGCGGTTTTTTTCCTTCCACGAGTTTCGGCAAATTTGGTTACACGGGAATTTCTCTTCCTCTCGCGAGATAACTGTTCTTAAATAAACGAGAATCGAGAAGTATTTCTGGGTCTTTGTTAGATCTCGGTTACAAGTGAAAGTACCTGTAAACTCGTATAGACAATTGAACGATGTCTGTAGATTTTTCTTCTCACTGTTTGACTTAAACTTAATTATTTTTTCCTCGCAATATTCTTGGGCGATTCGCAGTTTTTTTATATTGTACTCTACCGTGTTGAAAGATCGTTAAACAGCGAGCCGAAATTGCACGCTTTGAAGCACGTCTTCAACCTGGATTGCTTTAATCAATTAAGGTTTCTAGGTCGTCGTCGAATTTTTTTTCACCGCCGGTTCCTATCCGCTTTTCACTCTCTTCATTGTTGCCGAGAAACTTGAAACATTTCTAGAGAAACTGCATAAGAAAAGTGATTAATGCTTTTCTTTATCCTCTCTTTACTTTCTTAAATATCTATTTTACCATTATTCGGAATGACTAATTATATCCTGTCGTTTACTATGGGCAATCTATTAACTTTTTTCAACGATAAGAACCTGTTTCCACCAATTTCTCACTTTTGGAACTTTTAATTGGACAGAGGTTACACGTATTCTTTTTATTTATTTGTTTCAGAGTGCCACGTCTCCCGGTGCCAGCAACGATGGCCTCACGAAGCAACAACTCGAGCTCATTCAACAGATCATGCAGCAAACGCAGCAGCAGCAGCAACAGCAGCAGCAGCAGCAAACGTCGACGCAACAATCGCAGACACCACGCAGCAATTCGGCGACGACCGTCACGGCGCAGATCCAGAAAAGTCAAAAACCGTCCGTCAAGTCCGCAACTTCGTCCGGCACCGTTACAAATAATTCCGGGAGTGCGAGCGCAACGAGCAACGCAAGATCCAGCCCGAAACCAAAAGTTTGGAGCCACGTACAGGTGAGTGCGATAAATTCGCCGTGTCAAATCCATTTTCATTTGCCTTTTAACTAGATCGTTATCGCTGAATATTATCGTTTAACTGGTTTGTGTGTGTAGGTTTGATTTGATTGAAGGCCTTTAACTAACCGCTGATCTTTTGATTGTTATAACATGAAGAATGTTTGGATGTGACATTGTATAATGTAAATAAAGTTCCTAGTTTTGTTATATTTTTTTATTTTTATTTGCAAATTTTCTCCATCGATCTTTTACTTTTTCAGGAATATTCAAATTTTTGTGAAAGATTCTCAATGATTGCAATTTTTTTTTTTAAATAAAATTTGGCTTAATGGTTCGAGTGTTTTGATTGAAATTTTTGCATGACTCGGAGGACAAAGAAATAGCTCGCTCACCATTACTTAATAGGAACAACATTATGACTGTTACTGCGCACGTTGTCCGAAATATTTCGCGTCAGACGCGAAAGCATTTTAACGAGACAGTAGACGGCTCGGTGCGCGTCTAATGGTACACTCTGTCATTACAACTGATCATCGTGACCCGTTAAAATGTTGTGTTCGCATACAGTCAGTCGCAAAATTCTGTACACCTAAGAAACATTCATATTTTCCTAAAACGATATGAATGTCTGCTGCCACTTTAAAAAAAAATCTGTTTCGATTTCAATTAACAAATGAATCGAGATATAAGAATTTTCTTAAAACTGTTCTCTACTCGGAAATGTTCGAAGTTCATTTTTTGCCATCGATTGTACGTAAGTTACGACGAGCGTGTTCCGGCCAGCCAGATATTCGTCTCTCATTCGGCGTCGCTCTCGCGATAATTCGCCAATTTACATTTGACTCCCTTTTTCGTGAACCCGGCGAGATAATTAATCTGTTATTCGCGCGCTCCCGCGGCATGCCAGCTCGAACTCGAAAGTGGGTCGTTTCGGTTTGCGCGCGACTTGGATTCCGGAGAGCTCGGATAACGTGAATCACTGTAATCTTGTTAGTCCCTCCGCTTTGACCATGCGGTCGAAAATTAATCGGTAAGGAGTTTCCGCGAAAATACTTTTCTAAAAGGGATTTCCTCTTTATTAAAGAGAAAGGAAAAAATGCATTTCTAAATTGCATTTTCCTAAGCAGACAAATTATGTCACAAGCGAATTTCCTTATCGTACAAATTCATTCTTTTACGTAATTATTGAAGAGGTAGAAGCAAATATCCAATGGCAATCTGTTTCTTAAAACTACTGGATTTATTTTTAAATGATTGTTCAATTTCGAAAACGATTTCCATTTTATCGATGCTGAAACAAGAGCTATTTGGTATTCTGCGACGTTCAGCCGAATGGAGGTTTCCGATTTTGTTGATACAATGAATAGAACCGGTAAACGGCGACGTTGTTGCCACAAGGAATTCAGTTTCTCGGCCACCTAAACATATCAACTGTGCGGCTTGCACACCGACTTAATCGATTTAATAGCAGTTTCGCTGGTCCTGTTTCTGGAGGCAAATTGTTTACCGTTCGGCAGTCTATATTTAACAGCAATAAACGTCGATCTTGATGCATTAGCCAGGATCATAGCGTAATCCTTCCGCAATCCCATTCCCTGTCATAAAGGATTTTTCAAGAGGACGTGAATAAATTGAAAACGATCTTAATAAATAATTAAGAACGACAGATTCTACCTTCAATATTACAACTCTGAACAAGAATAATTATAATAAAGAGGAATTATACACAGGCGTCTCGTTCGATAACTCGACCCTTGTTTTATTACGTTCTTCGTGCCTGGAATGAGACCTGGTCAGCGGCGGCGTGTACCTCCGCCTAGACCAGCTAACTTCATTACGTTAATGGCATAATAACCATTGTGGCCGGCGGAAGGGCTTACCCACCGAAAACGTCGGTCCCTAAACAGGGCAAGAAGCAAGGAGAGGAGCGCGCGCCGAATTTGATCGGATCGCCATTAATATGTATGAGATCTTTGCCGATGGTACCAAGGGGGTAGATGAAAACTCGCCTCTATATCACCCGACTGGAGACGAAGAAATTGTCGGGTTCGTCGTTGTGGAGAAAACGAGAACTCCGTAATTGGCTAGGAATTCGTGGACGAATGGATTCTTCACAAACTTTCATGGTTTCGTTCTCCGAGACGGAGAAACAATCGTGATCCGGTCGAGTTCTAATCCATGAGTAGTTCGAAGGTCGATCCGTTTCTCACGAATCGATCAACAAGTTCGCCGCTGTGAAATAAAATCTTTATTTCTCTACAGTTCAGAAAATTGCCCGTGTCTTTACTAAAAAAAAAAAGTTTCCCTTGAAGAACTACTGTTTTTGTAACGAATCGATTCATGGAGATTTAGAAGATCAGCAAACGTCACGATCGCTTAGATGGGAAAAAACGCGTGCTCCAATTCCGCCGGAAATAGCCGCCAGTGGCCGAGCGAGTAGAGGCGATGCGGTTCAAAGCGATTAGTCTAAAGCCGAGACCGAGAAAGTGAAAGAGTAAACACGCGTCGGCCACAAATTGCAAAGGTAACGACGTGTTCTTAGTCACCGTTCTGGGCTGCTGAACTTTTCGCTGCAAATAGTGGCTTTCTGCGAACGTATGTACGCATGCCTTCGCTTGTCAGAAAGAGAGCCCCATTCATTCGAGGTGTTAAGAGGAAACGCGCGCGTTTCATTTCCTTCTATCTTCTTTATAACCAAGGAAATTTCTTAATACACGTGGATGACGTATTTCACGTATCGAAAGGAGATCGTATCTGCAGCAGTATTTTTGTCTACGAAATGTTAATCAATTTTCATATCGAACCGGGATTTGATTCCTCGTCGCCTGATTCCGAGCAGTGAACCGCGAATTCGTTCGACTCGAGTTTTATAAATCCGTCGCGCGCTCCGGTGTGAAGGGCTGCCAATTTCCGATCCCCCCGTCCACAATGACCCGAGGAGTAAGAAGAGAACAGGATCGAATCGGGAAGGATTTGCAATCGCAAGCAACCCGCTCTGGTTCTCTCCCCAGCGTTCGAATTCCAAAAGCACCTGCCCCCCCGACTCTTTTCAATCGCGCCGCGGACGGCACAGCTGTGAACCTAACTCCTGGACGTCGAGGAATATTAATAAAGAACCGGGAGTAGAACGTTCGCTCGAAAATTATTCCATGGTTCCCGGGAACCTCGGCGGAGGGAACGGTTATTCCTCGATTATCTTAAATCGTTTCCCTGACGACGATCCCTGATCGATACCCAGCAGTAGCAGTTACAACTCCCGAACGAGATTCGAGCTCATACTCAGACTTTATTACGCCAACGTGTCGGCGGAGTTGGAATCGAATCGTTATATTTGATGACTCGGGTCTGTAAAGGAAAATTTTGTTACGACTCGTTCGGATCGGAATATGCAAACTCTGAGTGCATCGGTTTAATGACGCACCGGATATCAGAATGGGATTTTAAAATAAGATTTCAATATCGATTCTAAGATAACGTTCATCGGAATCTGCATATTTCGAGAGTCGTGAGATCTCGCTCGCGAGAGTAAATGGAACGAAAAAGGAAGGACGCAACGCATTATTTGTGGCATCGAAGCATTAGCATTTGCTCAGATCTCGGCAACCAAGTCTCGGTTGTAAATAAAGCCCCGGCGTTAATAATAAACATCGTGTCCTCGGGAATAAACCTGTGGAACGAATCGGCGGCGATCGGCGAAGGGTATCGTCGTTTCAGCCAGGTTACTCGGCCGTAACGTAGAGTTTGTAACGAGAGTATGGATTAAATTAATATGATCTGGTACGCGCGCTGTTGGGTGCGGCCCGGCATAGTAATGAAGGGATCGAGGGGATTCGTCGGACGGCTTTATCTTTATGGAGAGGAAGATTCGTATTTGCGAGCTCCATCGTCGTCGTCGACGACGCTTTCGGCTGCCCGGTTTTGCGTTACTGAACTAAGCTGCTTAGGTGCATCTAAATGCGTTCACCGTGTTTTCCTCTCTTCGTGTTATATCAACGTTTGACGATCAAATTTCTCAAAATTTCTTCAAATCGATTATCATCTGCAGAAAACTATTTGAATTACTAAATCATATGTATTTCTGCAAGACCGTAAGAAGAATCTAATTCATTTATAATTTCTAACCTTGTGAATTTAATTACACCTGTAAGTCTACAAAGAAAAAATTACAGAGCATGAAAATGAACTGGAGGAGACGTATCATCTTTTCCCAGCAGAAGCACGTCGTAGACGTGAATGTAAACCCGTAGCGAAAAATATAAAATCTTGAATGTCCCTGGGAGAATATAGAAAAAAAATGTATATGCACAATGTGTATTCCGCGAGTTTCCTCGCAAATAGTCGGGAACAGTTACAGTTATAAAGCACGGCTTCCGCGATAGGGGGACGAGTTTATTCCGCGGAAAGGGGAGCAGTCAGCTGCGAATGAACTGTAACTTTATGCACGCGTTACGTTTTACGAGTCCGCGCAACACTGCGACGGGGTAGGCGTGTGTATATAAAAATTGTTGAGAACAATCGTCAAATCGATGTATGCCAATTTGTTCGCTCTACTTTCAGGAGCATTCGATTCGTTGTTCCTTTATAAATATCTTTCTATTTTTCCACCTAACTCGTATCGAAAATAATGTGCATTAACGAGAGTCTAGAAATATAGGCGTTTCGATTAATTAAGAGTTTTAGCAGACGTCTGTTGTCGCAATTGCAATCTCGCGCTGATGAAAATTTATTGAACACGCCTGTTCACGTATAAAAGCGTGGATGTAACTTGAATTTAAAGCTGAACTAATGGCGAGCCCGCGGTTGGAATGATACGTCTAGCAGATTACGAATTAGTAAACGCGAGGAACTTTACAACGTGCGTAACTTTCGGGTATGTTGCTTCAATGAACTACATTTAGCGCGGCTTGTATGTTTTGCTTCGTACGTTACCATCCAACCATTATAACGTCGGAGAGAGGAAATTATAACTTCTCAAATATTTATAGAACCTGTTGGCT